TTCTTCAGTTGGTTGGAATGTCGAACTGAACCTTTATTTCGATCGCTGGGGTAAACTGTTCTAGTTCCACGTGCCATGTCTAATGGATGTCAGTAATCAGTTATCTCCTGTTAATTCCCCTCTCCAAGTTCTCCACTGCCTTAACCAGGTATTGAACTCACTCTTTGGGTCCTGTTACTGGATCTAACTAAGGCCTTTATCCACTGTTATTAATATTAACTGGAGATAACTGGAGTCTGTCTATATTTCTGAGATGAGGTATTATGTACATTATTTACATTATTCGGACTATTGTCCTCACTATATTTATCACAACGTTTCGGACGTTGTACGCTCCGGCCTTCTTCAGGTGGTTGGAATGTCGAACTGAACCCTTTATTTCGATCACTGGGGTAGACTGATCTAGTTCCACGTGCCATGTTTAATAGATGTCCGGACACATGGCACAGTGGATAAAGGCGTTGGTTAGATCCAGTGACAGGACCTAACGAGTGTGAATTCAATACCCGGCTAAGGCAGTGGAGAACTTGGAGAGGAGAATTAACAGGAGATAACTGATAACTGACATCTATTAAACATGGCACGTGGAACTAGAACAGTCTACCCCAGTGAGCGAAATAAAGGGTTCAGTTCGAAATTCCAACCGGCCTGAAGAAGGCCGGAGCGTACAACGAAACGTTGTGATAAATAAGGCGACAAAGATGAGGACAGTAGTCCGAATAATGTAAATAATGTACAGGAGATAACTGACAACCATTAGACATGTCACGTGCAATTAGAACAGTATACCCCAGCGAGCGTAATAAAGGGTTTAGTTCGACATTCCAACCACCTGAAGGAGGCCGGAGCGTACAACGGCTGAAACGTTGTGATAAATATGGCAACACAGATGAGGATGATAGTCTGAACAATGTAAATAGTGTACATAATAGCTCATCTTAGAAATATAGACAGATACTGAAGGGGACCGATGTTTCAACGTGATATGGCGGTAAGCCGTGTTGCGTTTTCGTAGGTGCCATGTAAGACAAGATACGCCGCTTTAAGGAAGTAGAAAAAAGGCCATGCAAAACTATTGAGCCAGTGAAAGAGTTAAGATGATATAATCACGATACTATGCCAATTTCTAACTAAGAGTTCTTCCATCTTATTAATATGAGTGTCAGATGCCTTAGCAAGTCATTGTAGTTGAACGTTAGCTAGCATTTTTTACACTAAAATAATGGCTAAAATTTCAGTTGAACCAAAGATGAAGGTTGTGACTTTGAAGGAGAAGGTGACACTATAGCCAGACGAATGGGAATTTCCAGAAATAATTTTAAAACCATCCAAAAGTCGTTTGCTAATTCTGGAAGTATTTTAAATGCAAAGAAAACCGGAATACCTAAAAACAAAGTTTGACAAGAGAGATGAAAGAAAGATTATGAGAGTCTCAGCAGGCAATCCCAAATTAACAGCTAAACAAGTGAGGATTGAATGCGGTGTTAACAGTGAGATTTTAGTTGATACCATATGTAGAAGGATACAGACAAGAACGTTAATAAGAACTCTGGTCGCTCCTGATTATAAGAGATTTAAAAAAAAAATGACACCGTGTGTCAATTGATCTTATCCTCAGAAGACTATTAAAAATATACAGAAAATATGAACAATCTGTACGTTCAGTATCACTTCAAATCAGAATGTGTAGAAACAGAATGAATACTTTTACAATCTTCTCTTACACTTGGTTTCGAGTAATGACCCGGTTACAGATTGGGGTTCTACAGAAGAATGCTGAGAATACCATGGACTGAACAAGATAATGGAAACAAAAAAGACGAACATATTTAGAATCGAAAAAGAAAAAAAAAAATTGAAATTTCTAGGACACGTGATAAGGAAAGAGGGTTTGGAGAATTTGGCACTCAGCACATACTGAAGCCAAGGGAGATCGCGGGAAGCAGCGAGTAACCTACCTAATGAGCGTGTGTAAGTGGATGGCGGAACAGGAAAGAGGAGGGGTAAAAAGAAAAGAGAAAGTTTATAAGAGATAGGAAGTGGTGGAGGACCATGATCGTCTACGTCCATTAGGGACAGAAGCAGAAGAAGAAGAAGGGATTGTACTAAGTAGAAAGTGAAAGAATAACCACTTATATAAAAGTCAAGATAGATAAGAAACAAGGCAATCGTAATTAAGCGATGAACAGAGCATGGATTTGTTTATCTATCTTCGGTGTTACAGCGTTTCGACCATTATGCACGCCTTGTTCAGGTGTCCATCGCAGTTTGAACCCCTTTTTCAATTACCGAGGATAGATTGTACCTATTTCGTTGTCTATGCTAAAAATATTTAGTATCAGTTAATTTTATCCCATTAAGTCATCTTTGTGAACCATGGAATTTTGGGATCAGTCCAGTATTGAAAACATGACGGCCAGATAGTCAAATTATAGAGAGGTCTATCAGTCTTATAATAAGAAAATGCAGTAAGTTGGCTCAGAAAAACAAAACAAAACAAAACTGCGAAATACGTATTACTGAATGTGGATTATGATCCAGTAAAAATTGTGCTGGGTTGGCTATACAAACCGATATTGTATTAAAAAATCAGAATCTGTCTGAGAGAATAATAAAAAAAAATTGTGATTTGAGACTGAAATGGACTCACGTCAGAAGACTAGATCTTGTTATCTCTATCTATAAAAGGCAGGATGTGTGTGTGTGTGTATAACGAATGTACGGCCGCAATTTTCGACGGATTTGCACCAAAATACATGCACATGCTCCAAGTTAGCGGGAAGGCCAAGACCGACTTTGCATTTCCCAACTCCCATCGATAGTGGAAATAATCGATTTTTTCATGCTTCTACGGCAGTTTTTCATGTAGTTTGCGGCCATTTTCTAATGGCCAGAGTGAGAACCTATAGCTGGCTGCCACGAATAGGCAGGAAGATTCTATTGGCCAGCGTGAGCCAACAGCTGACTGACACGAATGTTAACTAGCATGCTAGCATGCAAAAAAATCGATAGCTGCATTCCTCACAAGTGGGAAAAATTTAAATCTGCATGACACTTTACTCCAATTGGCTCATTCGCTTGCTTTAAACTAACCGTTGATCCGATTTCTGCAGAACTGGGTTGGGTGTGAAAAAGTATTTGTTGTTAACATTCTTTTTTCATTCGTTTTTTTCAGTTACGAGTCCTTTTTGAAAGCTGATTGTTTTGTGTTCATTTTGTTTAGTTCTTTTTTCGTAACAGATTTAATGTTTAGTATAGAGCTTAGAAAAAATTCGCAGTGTGAGATAGGCAAGAAGTAAGGCATGTAGCAACATCAACACGGCAAAGGGCACTCCTTTAAAGGCAAGGAAGGGAAAAAATATTCTAAGTCAAGCGATAGCGATTACTGTATGACTCGTACGATTTTTGAATCAAGCACGGGCAAAGCCGGGCCATGCTGCTAGTCATAAATAAAGAGAAGAAAACATGCCACATCGTGGATCTCGAATTCAAGATGGTAGCTATATATCCTAATTTTTTTTTCTTTTAAGAAAATTTGAATTATATTTCCTAAACTTATCTGTAATCATCGAAGTCATCTTTGTTTTCAGCTTTTGTTGAACACAGTTTTTAATATTTCCAAAACGTTTTGGAATTTATCGTCTTCAGATTAGATCTACAGTTTTGGAAAATATATTCTAAGAAATAGTTTTCGTGAAATTCTTTCTCGGTGCCTTGTTTTGGCAGTAACATCTTAATTATGGGAGCGAAAGCAGAAGCGGGTCTATCTTCTTCAACTAAGAAAAAAACAAGGTCTCTTGCCTTTCCTTTCTATGCCTTTTAAAACCCAGCAACTAAAATGTCATTGCATTTAGTTGCTGGTAATCCAGTTGCATTTTCTTTTGCGGAATCTTGTTTCGTCTATCTCGCCAACTACACCTCTTCTTCTAATTATCTCACTTGAATCCTACTGGTTTCTAGCGGCCACTTTGCAGCGTGCCCGGTAAACGGAACACTAGTCGGAAGTGAAAAACTGGACAGATAATTTGGGTCTTGAAAAAGAACTGACAAAAATTGTGGAACGTGTCGGTGAAAGTTGTGCCCGTTGTTATTAGAGCCCTTGGAATGGTTCTGAAGGAGCTAACAAAAAAAAAAAAAAAAAAAATGGAAATTCGAGAAACCGGGAATCCATAAGAGTTGGTGCTCTTGGAAGCGCGCCAAAAACGCAAGGATCGTGACTGAATGAACTGAACATTTGGTAAAGAATCAGGACCGTCCAAAATTCAGCCAGGATCAATCAAGATACTAACATATGGTAATTTTCTAAGCGTAGCTTGGACGTGGCACAAGGTCGAATCTATGGAGCACCCAGTGAGAATCGAAATCACTATTCAGTCGTAATTGATCTAACGAGACAAGCTTGACTAACCATTACACAACGTCGAAGTGCCCAAGTAATTTAGTAAGCGTAGCTTATATGTGGCACAAGGACAAAAGCATGGAGCACCCAGTGAGTATCAAACTCACCAATCAGTCGTAATTGATGTAGCGAGACAAGCTTACTAACCATTTCACCGCGACAAAGTCCTTTCAAGATCCTAAATTTTTTTTGAGTTTACAAAAGACTTACTATCAATAACTTTAGCAGTATTGAACATACACATTCTTGAAATATATTGTGAAAAACATCTCTTAGCAGGAGTAATGCTGTCAAGATATTTATATGAAAAAAGAAATAAAAAAAATGAGCCTAGAAAAAAAAAAAATTCAAAGAATAAATAAAGAATTAAGCGACTCAATTTGGGGGGGTAATCTCTGTAAACCACCCCACGTGACTTTTTTCTGATACTCGTTATTGCAAACTTGTAAACTGTTATCTGACAAGTGTTGTCAAATCTGTTAAAACCGAAAGAAGTTTGTCAATTTTTGAAAGACAAGTAATTTCCATTTTGGAGAATTGGTTGTATTAACAAAGGCATTATCATAAATGTTGATCATATAAGGCAGTTAAAAAATATCACGTTGAAACACCAATTCTCGTACGACCACTGAATTAAAGCAACGTCGAGCCTGGTCAGTACCTAGATGGGTGACCGCTTGGGAATACCAAGTGCTGTAAGCGTGGAAGAGCAGGTGGTGTAATGGATAATGGCTCGGAATTGGAGATCGGAGAGCCAAGTTCAAATTCCAGTCAGGTTAGCAATATTCACTTACGCGCAAATATCCTTGGGAAAGATATGACTCCACCACTTCTACCCCCAACTATGGGTTAATTAGTAGGACTTGTATTAGTAAATCAATAATATCTCCAAAAAATTCTCATAATCTAAAAATATTTTCTGGCTTTAAATAACCTGAAAAGGGTTGATAGCCCTCAGGAAACAAATCAATCAAAAAACAAAAAAGGAAAGGACGCAGAACAAGGCAACAATTTCAAAAGCTGAGATCCATGAAATAAAGGTAATATTATACCTGTGGTGGGATTGTTCTGATATTATTTATTTAGACTTCTTAAAACGCAGTGAAATACGAAATGCACATTTATAGATCCAGCAGCTGCAACATGATCATCACAATACAAACTGTTTCAATAGAATCTGTCGAATCTTTTACATACCTAGGAAGCGAAATAAATTCTACTGAAAAGGATGTGAAAATTCGCATAGCTAATGCTTAGATTGCCTTGAGTAAAATGGTTGTAATCTGGAAATCTGATATACCAGACAACCTCAAACGGAGATCCTTTCGAGCCACTGTAGAGGTGATTTTAATATATCGTGCTATTGTTTGGATATTAACTAAAACTCTAGAGTCTAAGCTTGATGGAACCTACACTCGGATGCTGAGAGCTATACTTAACATCTCTTGGAAATAACATCCAACTAAATCACAGCTCTACGGACACATCCCAGATATTTTTACAATCTTACGCGAACGCAGAATATATTTTGCAGGACACTGCTGGCAAGTAAAACAAGAACTCACGTGTGATCTACTGCTCTGGACACCTAGCCATGGAACAAGACAGGTTGGTCGCTCAGCACCCACCTACTTTGAACAGCTATGTAGACACAGAATTCCACCCTAATGATATTGACCTTAATGAAGGACCGTAATGTTTGGCGTTATAGACTCGTGAATGTTCGAGCTAGCTCAACGGAATAATAGAACCCTTCCCCTATAATTGCGCTCGTCAATACACAAATTGTTTGTTTGTTTCGCGGCATATCAACACATATGGGTCATTAGTGTCGAAATTTAACTTTCTTGGCAGCATTAGTAATTTTCTTTACAAAAATATATTGCTGGTGATATTTTTTCAAAAATGTATTGCCTGTAAATTTTATTTATCTTATCTTTTTTTTTTTACAAAAAATTATTGCTGGTAATTTTTTTTTTAATTTATTGTTGGTAATTTTTTTTATATAAAAATGCATTGCTGTTATTTTCAGTATGAAAATGTTTTTTACATTTTCATAATGTTTGAGCCGAGTTTGGGGGTTAACTATTTACCAATACCTCGGATCCTAACAGGGGCTACCATCACGGATCAGATTGGACCGAGGAACAATTGCAATTAAGAGGTGGTTCTACGTTCCTAAAGACTTCCAATCTTCCGGTCAGAGGCCTTGCTACCGGATGTAGTTTATTGTCACTGGAATGATGACAATAGGTAAGTAATAGGATTCAAGATGGCGACTGTTTAATGTCAGCATAATTCTTTTTTTTTGTGTGGAAAATTTAAATAAATTTCCTAAACTTATTTTATTCATAGAAGAATGCTTACCTCTTCTAGTTCCACGTGCCATGTTTAATAGATGTCAGTTATCAGTTATCTCCTGTTAATTCCCCTCTCCAAGTTCTCCACTGCCTTAACCGGGTATTGAGCTCATACTCTTTGGGTCCTGTCACTGGATCTAACCAACGCCTTTATCCACTGTGCCATGTGTCCGTACATCTATTAAACATGGCACGTGAAATTAGATCAGTCTACCCCAGTGAACGAAATAAAGGGTTCAGATCGACATTCCACCTACCTGAAGAAGCCCGGAGCATACAACGGCCGAAACGTTGTAATAAATATGGCGACAAAGATGAGTACAATAGTCCGAATAATGTAAATAGTGTTAGCAAATTTGTCTCGCTAGATCAATTACGAGTGAGTTCGATCATCATTTTGTGCTCCATGCTTTCATCCTTGTGCCACAAGTAAGCTCTCCTTACTAAAACCTGCGGGATTTTATTCGAAAGGTATCAAGGAGGTGTTTGAAAAGTGGCAACAGGTCATTGCAAATACTGCCGAATATGTATTTGCATGAAATATAATTGTACTTTCAATTTTGAAGTTTATTCTTCAAAATCAAAAGTGCAATTGCATTTTATGCTTTGTGCAAACAATTTCCACTTTTGTCCTCGATTGGCTCAGAAGAGTGAGGATCGAAAATCGGTTCGTCTCTTTTTTGTCATTTTCTTTTTATTGTTGTTATTGTTTCGATTCAAATTTTTACGGTGATTGGCAACCAAAAATTGAAATTACTTATGATTAAAACCTAACAGAAAACCTGGTGTGCAATCGGCAATGTTTATATTTGAACGAGACAATGTCTGAGAGAAAGGTTTTAATTTTAATTAAATTTCGTGTTAGCATGAAAGGCTAGATAATCTCCCAAGTTTAAAAAACAAAAATCCGACGACGTCCCTGGAGAGGAAAAAAAAAGTTTTATTTTAAAGCGCAGGATATCTGTTAAGATGAGAGCAATCTGAGATCGACAACACTGACTTTAGTATTCTACTTTGATGTCTTGCGATAACTTTTCGTCCCTCTCAGAAACAAGACAAAAAAGATTAAGCTTCAGTGAGAAAGAAAAAAAGGGATTTCCTCGTGGAATTGGACTTGTTTTTGCATGTTTTGCAAGAGTGAGAATGTAATATGAAATACACACACACACACACATATATATATATATAATATAATTATAAAACAGACAACTTTAAGGGTTCATTGATTATATTTTATTTCCCCAGGGAGGTGTTTTTTCTTCGTTCCTCAGTTCATATTTCAAGCTTAAAAAATGTTTTTACATTTACGTATTATTTTTACTCACTTTTGAGGGGTAGATTTAAGTTAATGTAAGGTGATAGAGAGAGGGGGAGGAGACAGATATGATCGAAATATTGCGGTTAATTTCAATTTCAATTTCATACGGATTACCAAAATTTTCATTACCTAAGTATGCATGTATGTATATATATATATATATATATATATTACTAAATATACATTTTTTCTTCACCAGTAGCACGACCCAGAGTTTCATACACAATGCAATCTTCAAGTGGTGACATGTAACGGTCAGCCTCATTTTAGTACCCGAAGATTGCTTTGTGCATGAGACTCCGAATTGTGCTACCGGTGAGGAAAAATGTATATGTATTAATATATAATTTATTAATATATAGTTCATATATTAATAATACATATTATATATTAATATATAGTTTATAGCTACGTCATATTGCATCGAGCACTATTTTATTAACACACAGCTTTCAGTTTTATATATATATATATATATATATATATATTATCATCCACAGACAGACTGCTTCGCTGTATCAGCGCTCGTCAGTGTGGCTAGACATCCGATTGCCTCAAGCCGGGATCGAAACCCGACTGAATTGGCTTCAGTCGGAGATTTTACCCCGAACTATCAGCATATATATATATATATATATATATATATATATATATATATATATATATTAATGTATATTTGGACAGCAACCTTTCTTTAAACATCTTTCATCAAAAAAGTGACGGACAAGGAAAATTTTATTGTTCGTTATATTTAACGATATATATATATATATATATATATATATATATATATATAACACGTCTCATTAAATAATTTAGACAAGTTTTGTCTACTTATTTTTAATAAGATCCTCGTGTAATTACGAACAATTTTTTTAGTTTCCTTATTAAATGAAGAAAGAAATTACCATGCTGATGCATACTGATTTTATTTCGAGTACTTTCGACATTAGCACAATGTTGAAATCACGATCTTGATTTTCTGAGACAAAAATTGTTGTGTTCAACTTAGTTACCTCCCTTGATGTTTTCACGTGTGTCTTCATAATAAAATTTAAAAATTCTATAATACATCACGTTAGCGTTTTTCACTTCACACGTAAAAATTTAATCTTCAGATGAACACAATAGTTTAGTCCTAGAAAAATGATGAACACAAAAAAAAATGTCGTCTTTCACTCTTTGCCTTACGCCCATATCGAGTTGAAACACCGGTTCTCGTACGATCACCGAAGGTAAGCAATATTGAACGTGGTCAATACCTAGATGGATGAACGCTGTAAGCTTGGATGTGCGGGTGGCGTAATGAGTAATGGCTTGAAATTGTAAATCGGAGAGCCGAGTTCCAATTTCAGTTGGGTTCGTTCCAGTCACTTACATGCGAATAACCTTGGGAAAGATATGAAGCCACCTCCTCTATCACTAAATCATTATTTAAAAAAATGTAGTTACAATCTAAAAAGTATTTTCTGTCTTTAAATAACATGTGAAGTGTTGGTAAGCCGTAAAAATAAATCAGTCATTAGTTGAAGGATTTTAGGTAATATATCGAGACTTATTTTTGTGTTTTCGTTTATCTATAAAACAAATTTCTTCCCTCAAACCCAAATTGTTTTTTGATGACGTCGGTTCATCAACGAAACATGTTAAAGGATAAATGGACTCGTATCACTAAACCATTAATATCTAAAAAAAATTCTTACAATCTAAAAATATTTTCTGGTTGATAAAGGGTTGATAAACCGTAGAAACCAAACCAATCAATCATTCTTAAGTTCTGTTCTCTTGTTCTTGCGCCGTAATAATGTTTTTCTTATATTCTTTCTCATTCAGTAACTACCCCCCCACCACCACCCGCCAATGAATCTCAATCCCTCTCTTTCCTTTTTTGGGGTGAAATGATAAAAACGTCCATTTTTCAGAAAATATCAAACTGTCATAAGATCCAGATGAGTAGCCACAAAATATTAATTGTGATATTCGTTGTTGATGACTCCATAATTATCCCATCACTATTGGGGG